CACACACACACACACACACACACACACACATACACACTCACACACCTATCCTCAGCGGGTAGGAAGTACACGACGTATTAAAGCGACATCAATTAGCGAGACACGAACGAACCCCCGGGAGACTGCCGTGAGCAGTGTGAGGCTGCTATCGATCGCAGTCTGTGAGGTTGTTAGTCTGTATATGCGTGTGTTGACAGTGCTGATTTGGACTTTTGGAGTTTGAAACTAGCGGTCTTTTCAGGACAGATAAAGCAGTTTGCCAAGAAAAACGACAACCACAAATGTTTATGGCCGTGTAATGCAGCAAGACTGAATTTCCAATTGCCCTTGTCACATGAAGATTGCCAAAGACGGAATGAAATTTCCAGCAAATTTTGCATCATTTGCAGCATTTAATGTTGATTACAAAGGAAGAGCAACATAAGAACTGCATCTTAAATGCCACAGACGTCTTAAGGAGGAAGTATTAAAAACTGTATATGCGATTTGTCTCACTACTCAAAATTTTAAGAAATAAAAAGACGACCCCTAAACAATGCTCTCAATTTCTTAATTGCATTGCAAACGACTTGCTTCAGTATTAATTCATATTTACTCCGATGTGCACTTGTGAAGGGCATATTAGCCCTTATCGTGAGGGAACCTCATAAATGTTCATTGTTCAAATTGTGTATTAGAAACTCTATGGGAACATTGTTTAAAAAAAGACAAGTGCAAAAGATTGTTATGTTATTAAAAAGACGCCCAAACTGGGAAGAATGTGGAGACGTCGAGACAAAAGCAGGGCCATAAAGCGCAACGGGGAGACAGATATGTATTGTCCATGGGGATGCACATACAGCATGCATATGAAAGAAAAACGAGAGCGATATTTGAAGTGAAAAAGAAACAAACAAACGGTTTCAGACATCGGAATGCACGACGAACGCCAAAGGATGCACCCAGCAATTGACCGCAGCATTTGGGGCATCGGCCTTAAGTGCACACTGCACCAACATTCATTCTTTGCAACTGGTATAATCGAAGGAGAATTGTGCTTTTCCATTCTCCATTCCGAATAATAGACGCACTATTTGCATTTTCTTCAAGAGGCACTTTGTAAACGTCATATTGTAACTGGCGATACATTAAGAGAATTCCTATGTGAGTCTGTCCTTTCGTGAATTACATCTCTGGAATTGCGCAGACTAATGGAAAAGTCTGAATTGCAAATGCTCTTGGGGATGAGGCTATTCCGCTTTCCGAAACAACTCCGCATGCTCTTCAGACTGGGCCCTGATGCTGCGATCATATCTACTCGAACGGGAATTGCGATAAAGAGTCCTGTAATATGCCTTTTAGATGTATTAACTTTGTTTTCTCCCTTTTTGATCTGCTGTCTTTCAGATCCTTAAAGAGCACAAGTCTGAAGATACCACAGCCATGTATATGTGTACAATATATCTTTTGGAGAAGGTGACTTTGTTCTTTTCTCGTACCTAATCCCTTGTATAAGAAGACCCAATGTACATAAATATTTGATAACATTCTACTTGAGCCTCATATTATTACAAAAAGGTAAAATTGTTTCTTTGCGAATAATGTCACGGCAAGCTACATTGGGCCTCAGTATCAATGTGCGTAGTCGGTTAAGAATGTAGCGTTCAAGTAGACTGTTAACCATTTGGTTTGTTTTGTTTTTTCGTTCTTCAACAAAGCCCTTTAACAGAACAAAGTAAATATGCAGAAGAATGGCTTCACCTTCAAGGGTGTATTTTTTCGGGGATTCAGAACATTCATTTGTGGGGATTTTTTTTTTTAGAATGAAGGGTTAACCTAGTGCAAAAACGAAAAAAAGGTCCACGGAATCATAAAGATAGACCAGAATGTACCCCGACTTTCTGTGCAAGTTATCCCCGTGAAGTGAAGTCTCAGATACACTAGACACACGGACGAGCGTCTGAACATTCATCTTTTTTCAAAACAGAAAAAGCATCGCTTACTTACTCGATCGACGCTACGTACTTCATGATATCAAGTTCTGCATTATGCTGAAGAAAGACTTTGAGACAGACCTTACCTCAGACTCTGAAGAAAATACCCCCAATATCTATCCATCTATCTATCTATCTATCTATCTATCTATCTATCTATCTATCTATCTATCTATC